CTTATTTTGGTTACTTTTTGCTTTGTGGCCAGGGTGTGATAAGGTCCTCTGATGTAGCATGGCCACATTTGTCACATTTTTCATCTGTGAAATGTTGACAGGTATGTAATGTCAGTAGGTTAGAGAGCTAGATTCAAGCACAATAGACCTGATGTTTCTTATCCTGCTGGCACTCTGGCAGTTGACATCCAGAGCTCCATCGAGTGGACCAAGGATGTCAACTTGATGGTTGATTCCTCTTTTCCATAGTGTCAACAGCGGTAGTTATCACAGGTCCCTAAGTGAGATTGGGTTGTCAGATCATGAAGTATGGATGAACTGATGGACTTCAGCACAATTTCTCACCATTATACGGATAGCTTTTACCATTCTGGATTTGTCATTGGCCATTGCAAAAACACAAAAGAAACAAATCCACAAACACCTCTTAATTCTAGTTGCTGGGGTCCAGCAATGGCCAGCAGCTTCCACCTCAGTGTAGCAATGAAGCTGCTCTGGTTTTAATGCAGAATTTAAAGGAGGTGGATCTATTTTTATGGACAGGGCTCAGCACCTTGTATAGCAAGAATAAAATCCAAATCAGATTTTGCATGCTGTGTGCCTTCAAGTCATTTCTTACTTATAGTGACCCTAAGACCACCCTATCCTTGGGTTTTCTTGGCAAGAATTGTCCAAAGGAGGTTTACCAATGCCTTCCTCTGAGGCTGAGAGCATACGGCTTGCCCAAGGTCACCCAGTGGGTTTCCATGGCAGAGCTGGGATTTGAACCCTGGTCTCCAGAGTTGTATACTAAAACTCAAACCACTACACCACAGTGGCTCACAAACTTAAGCAGATTTATCCCAATGCTTAATTTCAACCAAAGCTGAGGATACTGATGTCCTACATTTGAACTGATGTCCTACTTGTGGTGTACTCTTTGACATTTGGTTGGCCACTGTATGACATTAGAAATCTAGACTAGATAGACCTTTCATCTAATTCAGTTTTTTTTATTATTTTATTATAGACTCTTGTGATTCTTCTGTATTTCTCCTGCCAGCTGGCAAACATCTTGTTAGACAAACTTTTGGCTATTAACTAGTTGCTGCAGAAAAGTCTTTTAATGTGGTGCATCATTTTGTCTTCACTATTATGTTTCTAAATTGTTTTATGTCCATGTTGTTTTTAATAGGATTCCTTATTCCATGACCTTTAAACTGTTTCTTACTGTTAAGACTGGGTTTTAGCTGTATTTTGTTTTACTCTATGTTACAAGCTTGAGTTTTACATTAGGAGAAAGGAGGGGTATTAATTACATTACTTAACTGATACAGAATACGACAGTTGTATTTTGATCATGTGGAAGTTGTCCAGTGAGCAATTCCATTGTGTTTTTATTATGTGCAACTCCTCATTTCACAGATAATCAGCTGAAAACACATTTAAGATCAAACCAGGGATACTTTAAAAGTGCACCAATGCTCTCTCTCTCTCTCTTCCCATTTGTCATGTGTATACTGAGAGAGAAAAAGAGAAAGAGAGAGAAAGAGAGATGGGGATGTTTGGCCAAGATCCTACACTGGGAGACTACCCCCCAAATGTCCTACCTTTTAAGTCATGGAATGCTTCAGCAAAGGAATTTCCAAGGTACTGGAGAACATGAGCATAAGAATAGTACCACATGAGCCCTGTTCTTGCTGCAAGCGCATTAGTTAATGAAAATGGAAACATAGGAGTTTAAGAGCAACCTTTACTGTATATCTCCACAACAGAGAAACTGTGGCTCTTATACTCTTTTCTGTGATCCTCCTTAACCCCAACTCCCTGCTCTAACCTGCATACCTTTCTGGGTGTTTTTTTTTTTTTTATTTTACTTACTTTTTAATTTTTTTATTTTTCTATTTTTACTTTTACTTTTTAACACAATTCCAGTGTCATGCTAATATGATTTAAATTTTTAAAAAGAAAAGATATAGGGAAAATAAAGATATAGAAAAATAGTAAAAGAAAATAGCTTGTTTAGGAATAACAAAGAAGACGGGGGTCAGGAGGAGAGGAGGAAACACTGTCACCACATGAATGCCAATATTGCAATTGCACTAATAGCAGTGTTTCACACCTGAAGATTAATGGGACTGCAGCATGATTGGGAGCTTATTGATGGGTTTCTCCCATGGTCATCCTAAGCACACTTTGAAGACACTGTAACTACAGGTCAGATGTGACATTATGTGATTACTATTGCCAAAGACACTAATTTTTGACTATCATTGCATCCTGTTGCAGGATGCTCTGCTGGAGGGGAAGGCAGGTAGCTGTGTACCCTGTAGTGAGGATGGGGTTGCAGCCATCACCACTTGATTTTAGCCAAAAGTCTGAGAAGTGGTGTGAGGGCAATTTAGCTGCAACATCTGTCACCCCACTGATAGCTAGGATTTTTTCAGCTGATCTGGATGGCTAGGTGGGTATTCCCTTCCTCCTTTACCTCCATGTGCATCCCTCCCAAAATTGCATGCTCAATAGAAGAGAATGGCCATGCTGCATAGAAGAAGTATGCATCATCACTCATTGTCCCATTCACCAACATCTTGGAAATTCCTTGATGCAGGAACTGTTGGTTTGTTTTTAGTTTGCAAATGCATTTTAACCGCCAAAAATGTAACTCACTCTCTCTCTCTCACTCACTCTCTCTCTCTCTCTCTCTCTCTCTATATATATATATATATATATATCTCACTTTTGAATGTGTGCAAAAGCTAAATTAACACACACTGTATATACAGAAGTGTGTGCAAGTTGTCCTAAGTGAGCCTTGTAGATAAAAGAACTGGTAAAAGAATGGAACCCCTGTCAAATTAATGGAACTTGTCTGTAACTTCCAAGCATTGCCAGAGTAAGACACTGGAAAGTAAGGCATCAAAAATGCAGGGAAAGCCAGTAGTACAGTCAGCCTTCCATATCCATGGATTCAAACATCCACAGTTTGAAAATATCTTAAAAATATATTATTTTCCAAAAGGCAACTTTGATTTTGCCATTTTATAGAAGGTATACCATCATAATGTGCCAATGGATTTAATGGAACTTGAGCATCCATGGATTTTGGTCTCCACAGGGGGTCCTGGAACCAAATCCCAGTGGATATCAAGGAACCACAGTAGTAGTAGTAGTAGTAGTAGTAGTTATTTCTTACCCACTTTCTGGAAAGAAGGGAACAAGAGCAAATAACACAACACATAACATCACTTGTAAGAGAATATAAAACCAATACATATTAAAATCTCTCAATAAGTACTATAAAAACATTATTTAAAAATTCATTTGGATAGGCTAGCTGGAAGAGACTGGTATTTACTGCTGATTTAAATACAGACAATATCTCAACTTACAAATCTCCAACAGATCATTCCACAATCTCAGGGTGGCCAAAGAAAATTTCCTCTTGGTAACAATCAGCCTAGCTTTGGCTACAGAATTCAATGGGTAAGAGAATTAGAAATCCATGGGTGAGGGGTTTACATAGGTGTTTGACACTAACTGGATTACAGCCAGAATCTTCATTTCACTGTAATGGCTTCCTAGAATCTCTTTTGTTCAATGAATTGAGTCACCTGGAGCATCGCATTTGGGTCAGAGGAATATTGCTTGGGGCACCTATGGGCAGAATAAGTGCAACCGTTTGATCCTGAAAAGCTCTAGCATCTGAAAATGTGTGCATGGGGTTGAGGGAAAAATGATATCACACATCACTTCAGCTGTTGTTGCCCAGGAGTATGTTAGAACTGGTGGAACATCAATCCATATGTTATGATAAAGTGCGATTTCAGCAAACCAGTTTCTCTTCTGACTTTCAAAAACCTTACTGAATCAACATCATCATCATAAAAAATCAGAGATAAGCTTTCTGCCGCAGCTCTAAACTGTTCAATGCTAACAATACATCTGAGAATCATCATGGTTTTTTTATCACTTCATTTATTGTCAAAGTTCTTCTATTGTGTTGTATTTTCCATTAAGCAATCCAGATATTTCAAATCTGCACACCACAAGGTACATACAGTGTTGCATTAGTGAGACTGATTGTTTATCCATGTCAGTTGGCTGTTATCACCCAGCCATTTTGGAAGCAAGCTTAAGATATCTACCAGGCTTGGGAGAGATTCTTTTCAATAACATAACCAGAGCTTTGCAGGTTATAACCCTTAATTGCTTGCTTTTCCTGACATTTTTGTCTTCCAAGAAAATAAACACAAGTTGGAGGAATCATTTTAATTACAGCATTTGGGAAAGATTGCCAGTAGAAAAGTTGGCTTAAAAGTCTTGCTGCAGATATAATAGCAATGCCCTTCTGAAATGTGTTCTTTCAAGCCAGGTAATGATCTTTGTTTGTTTTGTTAATAGCTAAAGATAATGTTCTAAGAAGCATTGCTGGCTAATTGAATGAGCACTGATGACTTTGGATGACTGGTGGCTACTAGCTGCAACCATATCAATTAACCAACCTAGGCAGGGGCTAGAAAAAAATAATTTGTAATTTCATGGTAGACAGTAAAAAAGGATGGAAACCAAGTTTTCAAGTTTTGGCAAGAGGTAATCTTGGATGAAGAAGATTGCTCCAAGACTATACCTGTTGTTTACTTTGAGCACAAGCAGAAATAATCACCAGAATCCTATATCGACTACATAGTTACATCTGTGTAACTAAGTAGCATCTCTTGGCCTGACCCAACCTCCTCCAGCCTACATTAAGAAACTACAATTGGACAGGGCAAAAAAGATTGTTCAGATTCTGATCAGGTGCAAGAATGACTATTTTCCCACCTACCTCCTACCAGTGAGCAAGCCTGCAACAAGGACTTGTAACTAGGATCCTGCTTTTGACTGTCACAGGTTCCCTTTGCTGGTGGGAAGGAGTAGAAATGTCATCCTCCTTGCACCCCAGTCAGAAGCTGAGCAGACTTACTTTGTTCAATCAGATGGCTGTTTCTTAAGGTAGACATGGGTGACATTTATATAGTAATAAAGTAATACTATGTTGTCTTACTGAATACAGGGCAGGGACGAATCTGTAACACTAGATTAGAAATCTGCAGTATTGAATACCAGCTTATAACTTTAAAGATGAATACTGGCTGTTTCACCTTGTATACTGCTGAATTAAAAGACATTGCAGAGAAAATTTCAAGAATGGGAACCCTGTGGAGCACCTGTTGTTCTCGAACTCATCCCATGAGTCCAGAGACATCTGAAAGATATCAGGTTCCTTAATCCTGCCTCTGGAAAAGGTGGTCCTGATGTAAAGCAAGCCAGTGATGGTGTGGGATGGGAATATTTATTTATTTATTTATTTATTGCATTTATATTCCACCTTTCTCCCAAAATGGGATCCAAGGCATCTCATAACCAGGACTGAATCTGCACTCCAGAAATAATGGAGTTCAACACCACTTTAAATGCCATAGCTCCATGCTATGGAATCCTGGGATTTGCAGTTTGTTGTGGCAACAGAGTTCTCTGATAGAAAAAAAAAAAAAGCTAAATAGCACACAAAACTACAAGTTCCAAAATTCCATAGCTTTAAGCCATGGCAGTTAAAGTGCTGTCAGTTTGAATTATTTCTACGGTGCAGATTTAACCCAGCAGGCATGTAATGGCAATCCACATGTGAAATTGGGAGAAGGGGGCTGTTGTGAGGCTCACAAACTCAGCTGCCTGTGTAGCCATTGTTCATACCATAACTATGATTTGAACAAATAAAAATGTTCACATTATAGCCTGCAGTAAATGTATAGCTCAAAGTTTTTCCACCCTAAGTAGTAAGAAATTTGAAGAATTCA